TTCTGTGGAGTGGTCGTTGCCTTGTCCTCGTTCTGTGGTGTGGTCATTGCCTTGTCCTCGCCACGTTCTGAGGCAGTGCTGGAAGCCGTCTTCAGCGAGTGTCTTTACGAAGTGTGATAAGAAGCATGGTGGGCACTGCTGTGAGCAGCATGCAGGCTCGTGCGAACATGAAGAGGCCGCGTCCTGGCCCACCAGTCGCTGGCCTGGCACCCTGTGGCTTCCGGCTCCTCCCCGAAGTCAGAATGACTGAGCGGGTTTAGCACATCCCAGCAGCCATGCCAACACAGCCATAAGACTCAGGAAAGAGGGCTCCAGAGCTGCTTCGGAAAGTGCAAGGATGTCTGATATGCGGGGCATGCACGCCAGATTGTCATTTACTGTAATCATTTTAAAAACCATAAGCATTCAACATGGTTTCCAGCCACCCTGCATGCAGCGCTTATATGTTGTCTTTGCATTGGGCATAAAGGGGCTGCGACGTCCTGGGGCCCTGTTGGTTGCACTCAGCTTCGCCTGCGAGCTCCTGTCTTGCTCCCTGACAGTGGCCTCAGCTGTCCCTCGTGACTGCTCACAGGTCTGCGCTCCATGAACCTGAGATTATCCGTGCGCCTCCTGGACCAGCAGGGGGACACGGTCCTTTGGGGTGTTTGTTCGCTCCCAGTTATTTCTCAAGATCACCATCAGAAGGAGAGAGCAACCCCCGGGGAGCCAGGAGGGGTGTGGTCAGCATCACCATGGGTGGCCAGGGCTCACCCCAGCAGGGGTCCCCTGCATCTTCTTGGTGACTCAGGACCTGGCCCACCTGGGCTTGGCACTGTCACTAGAGTTATGATGAGCAGGGCGGCCCCTGGACAGTCCCTTCCCTCCCTTCCTTCCGTTGTCTTTTGAGATAGGATCTTGCTACATAACTGAGGCTGGCCTTGAACTCACTGTATAGCCCAGGCTGGGCTCGAAGCCAACTGTCTTCCTGCCTCAGCCTCCCAAGTACTGGCATTAGAGGTGTGCACCACCATGCGTGGCTAGGATTCTTGATTTCTGCTGAAACGTCCATGACCAGTTTTGAAGGTAGACCCTTTAGCTCATAGCATTTTATAGAAATGGTACGGAATGTGCTACAGGAACTCACTAACAGTCTCTTCTTTGTCCATTTCTGGTTCTCTGACCCTAGGAAGAACGGCATGATAGGACTTTCGGATTTCTATGTTCCACAGAGAAACACTTTGAAACCTTAAAGAGAAAGCTCTGCCGATGGGGGCCCTTCACGGAGAAGGCATTTCCATATCACGACAGTGCTTCGTCAAACTTGGCAACAAATACAGCTTGTCACTAACGCTTCTGTGGGTAGCATGAGGTTTTCTGTTCGTGGAAATGAGGTGTGGCCACCGTGTCCACCTTGCCTGGCAGTGGGGACCTTGGCTGGAGCCCTGGCCATGGGCAGGTCATTGGTGTGGGTGACAGAGACACACAGTTTCAGTGCCACAGCCAGGGCTTAGGAGGAGCCAGCTGTGACCCACTCTTGCTGCTGGGAGACTTCCAAGGCCTTTAAGGGGGTTCTAGGGATGCAGGCACGAGGAGTTGTAGTCAAGTATTGTAAGGAAAACAACACAGCCATAATCCAAAGAGTCAAATACAAAAGGAGGGCAGGAAATCTATCCACACACTAACGACCAAAGAATCCAGCTCAGGGCCTGGGTCCCACAGCAGTGTCCTGCAGGTGAAGACCTAGTGGTCCAGCTGAAGACCAAGAGCCCATGTCAAGGCCTCATGCAAGTCTGTTTCACAGACCTGACTGGGAAGGCCCAAAGGTCAGTGACGGAAGCTAGAAAGTCTGTCTGCGGGATCTGCACTGCCAGGCTGAGTGATCCAGGCAGAAGTTGGGAAGTGATGCTCAGAGTGAGGACCAGAGTGCCTCCAAGGTGAACCATAGCCATCCTCAGGGACGGCAAGGGCCTGCACTCCAAGGGTGGGAACAGCCGAGCTCACGCCAGGCACCCTGATGAGCTCCTCCAGGAGACCCAACAGCTCCACTTCTTCCTCTTATGCTGCCTGCAACCACACTCAGCTGGGCCCTCCACACCCAGTGCCATGCTGACTCAGTTCAGCTGGGTGTTCAAGTTGTCGATGCACATGGGAGCCCGCAACTAGTCCTACCCCAGGAAGAGCCGGAGGACCCCATCTGGGCTTAACAGATACAAAGATTTCCCCACTAGTCACTTAAAAAATACTTGCCCATCACGAGGAGCCATTAAAGAAAGTGGAAACCCTGGCCTTACTGGGAAGATGGGTGGTGTGGGCGTGGGTGTGGTTCGTCTTGGAAGTGTGGTCCTTGGTGTTCTGACACTGAGAGAGGAGGACTGCATCTCCTGGTGGGGGGTGTCAGGCCACAGGGGCACTCCTCTTGGGAGGGCTGAGGGCATCCGTCCTCGCCAGAGCCGGTTGTCCCGAGCGTGGCCCGGCCCTGCACATACCTGGCTTCCTGTCTGGTGACATGATGTCTTGCTCTGGCCTCTCCACAGTCACACTAGTGCAGGCACCAGGAGCCTGAGCCTCAGAAACTGGGCTGAGCTCCCCTTTCTCTGTAAAGACTCCAGCCTTGGGTATCTCGTTATAGCAACAAGAACGGAATTTCAAAACTATCTGTTTTTAGTATTCCTTAGTTGCAGGGTAGGAAAAAACCAGAAAATGCAAATCAGCTCCTACTGACCTTGGTTTTATGAGTAAGGAGAAGTCTGACCCACTGAAACACGCCAGGACCTCGGCCTGCGGCCAACCAGCAAATTCCTTAGTGCTGGCGAATAACTGCATTGGTTTCTGCATTTTTCACGTCTAGGGAAAGTGGGTTTTTATTCTGGTACTTATGGTGCGTTAGGAAAAGGTAGAGACAGGTACCTCCTGACTAAGGGAGCGCCCAGCGGCCGGGCAAGGCTGCTAGTTTTGCTTTTAAAATGACTGAGCTGCAAATCACCCTCTTACCTTCTGCTTGGCTGTTATTTCTTGGCAAACACTAGCATGCTTAGGAATCTCTGCCACGTGAGGAAATCGCACAAGTGAGTTTCAGACAGATTTTAAAAATGCACACTCAATTTAGCAATTAATGAAGAATGAATATATAAATGAATCATGTATAGAGCCTGCTTCTGCTCCTACTGTAATTTGCAGCCAATCGTTTTTGTCAAGTCAAACACTGCCAAAGGGCCTTGAAGTCTTGTCAGCCCCGAGGCAGCTTAGCTCAGTGTAGCAAGAATGTCACAAATTCCGAGCTCCCACAGAGGAAGGCCCCGCTGTGGGTGCTGCTTTGCAGAGTGGCTTCTCTTGGCTGCTGTGTGCTTAGGGTGGAGAATCACCCTAAGGGTCTGCCCTGCAAACAGGTGGGGCGCCTGCTGGCTGTGTTCGGTGGGTCATGCACGGGTGACCGTGGGGTCTGCATCCACGTCCTGCCCCTTCCTCTCTGGCCCTGGTCTCCTGTTCTGCTTCCTGTCATCATGAGTGCAGCAGCTTCAACCAGGCCCTTCCCACATGTCCTTCCACCACGGTGTTCTACAGGGTGGTTCTGCTGTGATGGCTCTGCCTGGGCCCCTGTCAGCCAAGCACTGAAGCCAAGCGCCAAATCCAGCCTTCCCTCCAGGCTCTGGGTGTCGGGTACTGTGTCTAGCACAGGGAAGCTGAGTGGCACAGGCCCTGGAAGAAGATCCTCAGTGGACCATCCAGAGGAGGCCTGCAGAAGTAGAGCGAGTCTTCTTCAGGGGGGACGCCAGGCACCGGGTCCTGCTACCCAAGGCTCAGGTCCACATCATACCCCCCCCCCCGCCTCCTCCCTCCCGTGCTCCGCAGCTGCCCACACATTTCTCCTGGAGAGGTCAGAACATTCAGCCCACATAATAAACGGGATAGGTGCCAGTGTACCCATGTGCAGCATTTCTGGGTGTCCCAGGACTGCTGGAGGCCATGTGGACACTGGGGCGCACCCTGAGGAGGGACAGGTGTCCTGTGCCTTCCTGCATTGGGTTGGATCCAAGAAAGAAGGGTGGAGACTGCCCCTTCTGGGCTGTGTCCCACTCAGCTGCCACCACATCCACATGCTCAGCTCTGACACACAGGAGTGGACATGCATGTGGCCAGCATGGCCAGACAGTGGACATTCATGGGGGCAGTCCACAGGGCCTCACAGGCTGCAAGAACGCTTGACTGGGAACACCATCTGGGCTCAGGTGAAAAGCATTTTCCAAGCTAGACCCTGGGCCAAGCAAGGGCCACAGGAGGCAGCTTCTATGTGGCGGTGTTCGCTGTGTGGGGACGCCGTTCCTCATCTCAGGTCAGCCTCGACTAAGCAGGGGTGGGGGTCGTGACCATCCTGCCTGCAGTGCCTGGGAGCCCTGCTCAGGTGGCTGGTTCAGGGCTGTGGCTTGTGCATCCAGAAGAGATGGGGTGGAGTCTTTTCTTGGTTTTCACCCTGAAGAGGGCATAGGACAGGAGGTCAAGCCTGAGGGGCTGAACTGGGGAGGCTAGCTTGCTAGTGGGGCAGAGAGCTTTCTCCCCCTCTCCCTCCCCCCTCTGTCTCTCTCTGTCTCTGTCTCTGTCTCTCTCTCTCTCTCTCTCTCTCTCTCTCTCTCTCTCTCTCCTCTTTGTTGTCACTTATGTGTACAATTGCAATTCATAGAAAGACA